ATTTGTTTGGTTTATTTGCAAAAGATGAATAAATTAATCCATATATAAAATAGGAATATACTTATTAACTTAAAGTAGTCAACTCAGAATTTGTTATTAATAAGTCTAATTTAAATTTAATTTATATAAAATTGGTTTAATTAGTTATGTTTATAATATTACAGAAAAACATTAAAATTCAGAACTCCAAGTTAACAAATTAGCTCATTCATTAATTAAAAAAATTAATTAAAATTCAAATGAAGTGTCGGAGAAATTGTAATTTTAGACCTTTTACCTTTTAAATTCCCAAAACTGTTAGTATTTATTTTGCTATTTCTATTATTTTTATTAATTGCAATTTTATTTTTATTTATTTAAATAAGACTAGGTTATTTTAATTTTTGAGACTTTATAGATTATTTAATGATCAGTTTGTGAATATTGATAGGAAATTTTAAAAATAGAAAACCAAACAATTTAAAATACGCAGTAAAATTATATTTTGATAGAGTTAATTTAAAAAAAACTCCTATTTTTAATTTCTTTATATTAAATCAAACACTTCATATAATAACTCAGTCTACTAATAAATATTATTTGTTTTAAATTGAAACTCTTACGTTTTTAAAATGCATTTACCAAATATTAAAGTATGCATATCTATAAACCTAACATTTTTCCCTTATTTTGTCAATGTGTGATTTGCCTAAAGGTATTACATTCACTTTTTTTTTTTTTTTTTGATGTAGCGTAATCGCTAAACTTTGACCCACCATTATTTAAGATTGCATATGTAGAGTGACTTTGATATCATTTTGTAATAGCATAACCCATTGGTAAATATTGTCCGCTTTGGGCTAACGTTTTTTGCAGTTTTAAAGCGTGTCTTATCACGACGAGAAATCGGAGCCATAACTGGTGCTAGAGTTGAAATAAATTCTAACCTTACATATCACACCCCACTCCATAACTCGAGCAAGGTGTGATAGTGGAATAAGGTTTGACTTTCTCTGATGAGGGAAAGAAATGATGAGGGAAAAAAAGAAAAGAGAGAAAGGAAGAAGGGAAGAAAAAGAGAAAGAAAGAAGTGAGAGGAGCTCGAGAGAAGAACACGAGCAGGAAGCCGAAACCTACGCAGAAAATTTCAATTTAATTCAGGTGAGTTTTTAAGAAAAAAACTCTTTTGTATTCTCAATCTAGATGTATTTTAGTTTTATTTAATCGGTTTAAATTTTTGGTTTAAGTACTGTTTTTATGATATTAGAGAATAAATTTTACCAGTTTAGCTTAATTCTTTTTATTTAATTACAAGGCTAAGTTGACGTTAGAAATTGACAAAACTCCAATTTAAAAGTTCTCCGATCTACCTACGGATTATTTTTCATAAAAAAATAACTATAACTTTTTTTGTGAACGTGAGCATATTCTAGCATATCTAGCATAGCAATGAATATGTAATAATATATTGAAAAATTTTTGAGTACATATGTAGTAGAAATTTTGACTTTAAATAAAAAGAGTAAAAAACAACATAATTAGGAATACATCTCATACATGCACTAGTATATTGATGCATTCATACACAGTTTTTGCATATTATTAATAGTGTATAGGTTACACTTTAGGAAAAGTATATCAGCCAGTCAGTGAAGCCAACATGACTGAGTCTGGACACACAGTATCAGCAAATGTGAGTGGTCTTTTTCCTAAATTCAGTATTTTTCTAAAATAATGAAATTAATATTTTCTTACAAACAAATGTTTTATTTTTTTAAAACCAAAGGTTTAATTTTTGAAATACATTTTAATTTATATGTTATGATTATTTTGTTATGAGAAATGGAAACACAAATTTCATTTTTTATACCGTTTGCTATATATGAATGTTTGCAATTCACCTGAATAATTCGTTAGATAGCCATGTTATTGTGACACTACTACATGATTTATTTGTCTGGTAGGGTCTTACGACACTAATAAGTTATGTGTGTTCGTCCACGGGATGATGTCCTATAAAACGAGATTCATAACCAACAGCATCCAGTAGATTCTTCTTATATTATGTTTATATTTACATGTACGTCAAACCTCATGTTTATTTGTGGAGCCGTTATGTTTTGACTTCCATTCTTAACTCATTTACGACATTTTTATTATAATTGGATCTGCAGGCTTAATTGGTGAATTAGTTTTATTTCTAAATTATGATCAATAAATTTTTATCTCACGATGTGTTATTCTATATTAGCTATACTAGATTTATGAACTGTTTTTATTTATAGTATTATTCAACAAATTTCTGTTTCACTAGTTTTAGTTTGAGAACTATTCATTGGGACGCAAGTCTCACAACTTATTTATTTTTTAAGTTTCAACAATAGAGATTTGTAAGTGTATTATGTGCATCCAACACAGCAACATTTCAAGTTTAGAGAGGTTAGGGCCTACTTATGTTAATAGTAACTGGTTTGGATTATTGTTTGAAGAGTGAAAGTTAAATAGTTGTATTATATGTAAATTTTATTTTGAAGAAGATGAGTTATATAAAGTAATTATATTTTTAGTTATAATAATAACTTAATTCTTCAATTATGTTATGTCATATTATATTATGTTATACAGTTATTTGGATGTGAGTTATACAGAAGATTCAGTAGGTACGATAGTTGAATAAGATTTGACATTCTCTAGTGAATTTCAGATATCGGAGGTTGCTAAACCCTATTTCACTATTATACCTCACTCGAGTTATGGGGTGGGGTGTGGTATTACAAGTTTAACAGATAACTCAAAATTAATTAAACCAAAATCTCATATAAAATCAAAAAATAAAATTTAATTTAAATCTCAACTAAATTTTAATTAATTTAAATTTAAATTTCAACAAAAAATCTATCTATAGTCAAATAGAACTAATTAAAAAATTTAGGAATCTAGAATCTAATAGAAAATTGAAATCAAACGATTAATTTCTATGATCAAGAAAGAAACAATAAGAATAAGAGGCTTTTCTCAAGTAGTAGGATCTGATGAAACATCGAACTCTAAATTTGAAAAATAATAAATAGTGTGTCAACAAACCCTATAAATAATAACATGCATTTATAAAAGCAAGATACATGTATAACAGATATAACAGAGTACTTTTTAGAAAATGAAATTTAATAATTATCTAGAATTTAGAACGTTCATGATCTAGAACGTAATAGAAATCAAACAACAATCTCATAGTCTATTGATAGCAGAAATTAGGTAACGACATCTTAGTCTGCTAATATACGGATATACAAGTCTCTCCCATGTCAGTTCAACATAGTAGTCTAGCACCACTCTATTAGTTAAGATTATGATCCAAAATGCACTTAATTTAACATTTATTGCTGCTAGTTACAATATTCCAATAATCTGAAACTCCTTAAAGCAATTTTTTAAAAATAAATAGAAATAATTTAACAAGATTTTTCCTTTACAGATATAAACAAAATAAAAAATCAATGACAGATAATTTTTCCATAACAATTCCAAAAATTTACATACATGTCCCATGTTTAGCATTTATAACAAATTTAATTCAATTTTCGAAGTAAGTGTATCAAAATAATAAATTTTATAAAAATCAAAATTTTAACAGATATGAAAAATAGTAATACTCATAAATATTTATTATTGCTCATATAGAATCGGTGGGAACCGAATGATCTAATCTCTGGTAGTATGTGAGCTTGATGGATACCTTATAAAGATTCTAAAATCATAAAAATAATAAAATATTTTATTATAAATTTATAATATATCCAAGAAATGAATAAGTATAATTTCCCAATCAAAACCCAACTAAAATTCTAAACTTTTAAACTCAAAACTCATACTGGGAGCACTAAAGTTCTGAACTCATTTTTTAACTTTTTATTCAACATTCAAATGAAGGCATAATAGGCAGAAAATAATAATTAATATTATTTTTTTACAATTTTATATCATAATAAAAATCAATGGCACAAAGAACCTAAATTTTTCTATAAAAAATAAAAAAACTCCAAAATTAACGACAAACCAAATTGTTGCTTTTATCTTTTCAGTAATGGTTGGACAGGACCACAATTGCACTGGCCCCGGATTTCAGGCTGAGGTTGTACCATGACCATCAATTATCAGGCGCTGCTCTGGTTCATATTTTCAAGCACGATGTTGTCTTTTCTACTGCTTACCCCCTCAAGTATCACTCATTTCAAATACATCCACTAAGGAATTACTTTTTCAAATTAGATCCCTAATGATCAACATCATTCCAATAGACCCTACAAACCCACTTGCCATTAGAAGTCGTAACCGGCATTTAGTCATGACTAGTTATAAGATATTACAATAAAACCTAGTTATAATCACTAAAATAAGAGGTATTTGAAATAAAAGCAAAGTCATACGAGTATGAAAAGTTGCATATCATGAAATTATGAGAAAATAGAGCACATAAGATGGTTATGCTTAATCAAGTCTAACTACGTAACTCAATACCCGTTGGCCTTTTGAGCAAGTGAATTGCAAGGTTTTATTGGAATAATTTTGTAATTTCGACAGTTTATTTTAAGCCAATAATTTGAGTAGTTTAAGGACCTACTTTTCAAAATTAAGTCTGATAAGTGCGTGTGCAAATGAATGATCGTTCCACGTCCTTTTTCCGGGAGGTGGTTGTGGGCTGGGGGGATTGCGAAGCTTAAGAGAGTGGTGTATAAGAGTGGCGTTCAAATAATTATTTGGTCCGTTTTCTATCACCATCTGTAGGATAACAGTCCCAGTCAGAATTTGGTGAGCAGTAATAGCCAAAATTTTTGAAGCATTTTGAGCGGAGCTGAAGATTGAGATCCCCCACCACCACCACAAAGGGCCCCCTCCAGCAAGAACTTTATGACGGCAATGCAACCTTGCAGGATGACCAATGAGCCAACAAATTACACATGCTAATAATAGAAAAATTGAACTGGTGTCCCACAAGAACAGAACACTTGGAATCCTACACATCAGTAACTTTGCCAACTTCCAACAGTGTGGCCTGTAAATCGGTCTTCACCAACATCTGGTGCCTGTACAACATAAGCTAAATGTCTACTGGAACCTGAGATGAATACTTTACACAGGTTTACGCGTACGATGACAAAGACCAAGCCTATCAGAGTAATCCTAGTATTCCTTAGTCATAGTTAATTTTAATGCTTATTTTTAATTTTTTGTCAATGCCCACCATCCAATGGAATCTCAATTGGAAATAGGTGGAGTAGGGTTTACAAAAATACAAAATTCTATAGATGAATCATGTCCATACTTTGCGTGGCTTGTCTTCTCATAAGCATCCCTACAAATGAGAATCCATCACATAAATATTGACAAGGAGAAGCAGTTTGAGAAGCATATTCAACATACATCTACTCTATGTTTATATCAATTTGATTCCTGCTTCCCTCAAGGAATCAATCACCGCTCTTACCTTACCATGATATTTCTGTTCTCTCTTTAAGAAAACAGAGACAGCAGGAATATCTTTAAGCAGCAGCCGCTCCCCAAGAATCTTCCCTATCTTTGCAGCAGCAGCAACATCCCTAGTAGATTCCATGCTTGACCTCAGAGCCTTCTCCTGCGAACTTGCAGCCGAGGCCACTGTAGCAGTGGGTGAATGGATTACTTGGGCTGATACAAACTTGTTTGTGAAGTGCATCTTCAGGACATATGGTTTGAGATATTTAGCAAGTCTTTCTGGTTTGACTGGTGGAAAAATAACCATTTCTGTTTCGAAAATAAAAGTCCACTGAACAGTTAATATTAGACTATAAAATAATTATAATAAAATTATAAGATCATCTCACTGGATTCTTTCTCATCCCTATGCAAGGTTACAGATATTAGAGCTTCCTGTCCATTATGATGGTACGGGAAAAAAAAAAGTGATTATAGAAACATAAAGACAGCCAATATGACTGACAGAATAAAAGATTAATGCAATCAGGTAATGACAACCAATTCTCAGACAAAAGCTAGCATTACCCTTAAGCCTTAATAAATATTATGGCATTAGGAAAGATGTCACTGATCTTCAATAATCCTATGTTCAAATGCAGTACAAAGATCTCCCTTTTAAGCATAAGTTATCATTGCCATATCAGAGATTCAGATGATACATGTGCCCTTCTAGTCCCAATATCTTAATTGCAAGGAAATTTTGCAGCCTACACATGTTGACTCCATCTCTGTGTCAGTTGCAATCAATTAGACAAGCATGCACATAGAGTGGAGAGTGTATTACCAAGCAATAGAGACATATAAAAATTGAGTCCTTAAAATTGGGATACAACTCCAAAGAATTCAGTTATGCGAAGCCAAAAACCATATAAAGAGAACAATCAGTTATCAAAACATAAAAACAAATTGGAACCAACCTTGAAGGCAAATAAGTAATCCTTCATTTTTGGTCTAACACATTGGGTGGGGGGGGTGGGGGGTGTTGTAAGTTGTAACCATTGGGTAGGTTTGGACATGATCAAAACAAAAAATAAACTGAATTTCTAAAATGCTAACTGAACTCAAAATTGCATCCAAACAAGCCGAAATGAACTTTAAAAATGCTAGTTCAATTCAACTGGATAGATCCAACCAATTCTGGGAATTTTTTTCCTTTTCTTTTTTCTCTTAAGCTCTAAAGGTGCCAACTTCAAGATATATATTTAAATATGAAACTCCATGTCTGATACAGAAGCCTTAAACACAATATATGAAGATAGGTAGCAGTAAGTAGACATTTAAGAACAAGGCTTGGCTGATGAAAATGTGGACTTAATATGAACACTGATAAATCATCAGGACAGAAGGTACAACTTTGACTCTAGGGCCAAAATCTCATTCAGAATTGGATTTTTTCATTTTTTTTCTCACAACTTCAGAACAAGTTCATTATATCCATTTTGTAGTAGCTTTTCTGTATCATTGTTGGTTTCTTGATGTGGCCCAAACTCACAACAAGATTGCAGCACTTGTATGCATATTCAGGGTCATGTCTGAAGATTCCCCATTTTTCCCATCCCTTCCCCAGGGACTGGCTCCGCCAATAGAACTCAATTAAACCATGAAGGTCCATCCAAAGGGCAATACAAATCTCACCGATTAAATAAATCCTACGCATATTATAAGAAAGAAATACTCAAGAAAAATAAATTCATCCAGCTTTATCGGGGAAAAAACAACTGATTATGAACAAAAACAAACGGCACTTATAGAAAGAACATTCAAAGAGGAATATTTCAGAAGTAAAAATTCAGACATTAAAACTCCAACTTGGAAAGGTCTCACAAACCCTAATTTGAACAAAACAGATCCTAAATCGAAATAGAAACGGAAAAAAGAAAGCTAACAACAACCCAAGGCAAAACCAAACAGAGAAGCATATGACACCCTCATTCGAACTCAGAAAAAGAAGATTAAATCTCAAATCCTACCTTTGTTGTAAGAGGGATTCCGAATAACTAATGGAGGGACGGTCGAGGTCGATCCTGGCCCCTAGGACTTGACCACTAAGAAAGGTTCGCAGAGTCGGCAGGGCAGACCACTGAGGCGCAGACGGGCAGAGAGGCGAGAGCAAAGTGGGGGAGAGAACAGAATTAATATAAAATAACACACCTGCTTTGCCAAACGTGCATTGACTTGAATTGCAACTTCATCTGAGAGATTTATCGCCCAATAGACGTTTAAAATAAACCTATGAAAAGCTTTTATTTAATAAAACTAAATACACCGAAAAATTTATTTATATGCGATTTCATCACCACGAACTCCTTTCTTCCGCTAAATCAAAATAATCATCAATGTTTTCCAAAATAGTGAATGATGATGCATACACATTTCTCAGTTTCTGTTTATTATTTTTAAAAAATAAAAAATACTTTTCATCTTTTAAATTTACCTAGATGATACTTAATCATATTTTTATTTAAAAAAATATAATTTCTTTTAATTCAAGTTTCTATCTATAATATTAATTTAAAATATTAAAATTATTTTTTCTAAATATATTATATAAATGTATTTTATTACAATAAAATAAATTTTTATCACATAAAATTAATTGCTCATAATTGTAAAAAAATATTAACATATTACTTTATTTATTAAAAAAAGTTGATTTTTTAAAAAAATTCTATTTTTCCATTTATACTAGATTTAATATTAAAAAAATAAATATAAAAATAAAAAACTTAACCTTTTAAGGATTTATATTAAGTGACATGGATAGAGGTGTGCAAAACCAAATCGATTAAGTAAATCAAATCAAACCAAATTAAATTTTAAAATTTAGTTTAGTTTTTTTAAAATTTGGTTTGGTTTAGAAAGATAATCAAAAATTATGGTTTGGTTTGATTTAAAACCAAACCAAACCATTTTAAATTAAAAACCAAAATTTTAAAAATTCTTTATAAAAAATATTAATATATACACACAAATACATATATTTATATAAATGTATATTTATATATCTATATATACATATATATATTTATATGTATATGTACATACACACACACATAGATGTACATATATACATACATATATATATAAATTTTATCTACTTATACAAATTTAAATATACATATGTACATATATTTATATTATACATAAATACATAGATACATATATGTATAAGTACATACATACATATATACATGTATATATATACATATATATTATATGTGTATGCACACACACAAACATACATACATACATACATACATATATATTTATATGTAAATTTCTTATACTCGTACAAATATAAAAATATGTACATGTACATATATTTATATTGTATATAAATATATAAATACATATATATTTATATACACATGCGTATATTTATATATTTATGTATGTATGTAGATACCTATATGTGTGTGTGTGTTTGTGTGCGCATGTGTACATGCATACATATGTATTTATACATATATATGTTATGTTTGTGTGTGTGTGTACATGCAGACATATATATTTATACATACATATATACATATATAAATACATAAATATAGGTATTTACATATTTATGATTGTACGTATATATTCATATGTATGAATGTGTGTACATATATATATGTTTTTATATTTATATAAATATATATATATATACACATGAATATATACATATATATGTTATGTATGTGTGTGTGTATATATGAGTGTGTGTGTATACAAATATATATACATGTACACACATATATATACATGCATATATATGTATATTTAATAATAATAAATTAAATAAATAATTTATTTTAATATTTTTTAATTAATAAAAAATCAAACTTAAAATCAAATCAAATCAAACCAAACCAAACTAACTGAATATGAATTTTAAATTTAGTTTAATTTAATTTAGTTTAATTTTAAAATTATTAAAATTAAACAACTAAATCAAAATATTAAAAATCAAACTAAAATTATGATTCGCTCTTTTTGGACTGAGAATCTTCCTGTCTTTGGTGAAACCCCAGAAGTGGAGGACAACTTGTTCCTTCCTGCACCACCTAAATGGTTACTTGAAGGTAATAAATATCTCTATAAAAGAGAGGGAAAGAACCCATGCATTGAGTTGTCGACTAGGAAGGCCGCGTCTCTTGGCAGCGGTGTGAGCTCTACAGCTCGTCGGATGGACGCGTAGCCATTACAACCGTTTTCAAACTAGAGGACGTTCACACAGCACTTCAAAAGTTATTTGATGCTTATATAAACCTATCCTTTCTTTCTTTTTGACAACACGTTGACAAAAATGTAGGTGGCAGTGTAATATCTTATTTTACGTTAATTTCTGAAAGTAATATTATATATTATATAAAGATTAAAAATTACTATTATATAAATTAAATTTAAGTAATATTATATATTATATAAGAATAATTCATGTTCAACAAATTGTTAAAGTTAGTGGTTCTTGAATCATTATAAAAATACTATGTAATGGTTAAAATTGGTACGTTGGATTCTATTTTAACTTTAGCGTCAGTCACAGATTCAACACCGGACTATGACAAAATAGCATCAAATCCAATCCATCTTCAAACCCGTTCTGTTTGAATGCGAATATAGTTTTCTAGTTTGACGAAGATGTTAAATGTTTAAGTGAGAGAGATTGTGACATTTTATCTACATCAATTTTTTAGAGTAATATGATATAATATATAAGAAATTAGAAATTATACTACAAAAAAAATTTAAAAAATGGCGGTTAGAAATGCAAAAAACAACGATTAAGAACTGCCATTATATACATACGCGACAGTTAGCAAAATCGCCAAAATTCGACCTGTCGTTAGGTATAATACGACAATTAAAAGACAACCATTGTATAAACTATCGTATTTTACTATGTAAATAATGACAGTTGAACCGCCGTAAATACTATAGTATATAACGGCGGTCAAATTACCGTTGATAAGAATGATGGTTTATGGTAGTTCAACTACCGTTATTTACAATATTTTAAAACTAAAAAATGGCAATTCAATCACCATTTTTTACAATTTCACGAGTAAAAATAACATCACATATAAATAATCCCAACCCACGTCTGCAAAGCTCCAAGCTTCCAATTTCCCTGCAAAGTTCCTTAAAATTGGTGCTTGGGAGGTACCAAACTTACAATGCTTTCAAATATTCAAACAATCAAGTTGCTTGAAGGTCATTCCTGAAAACTAGTTTGCAGAAGAGCTTTTCAAAAAAGCAAAATCATTTTGAAATATCAGAAATTAGAATGTTTTTATATTTTCATTTTTTTGGCAACATTGGAAACTCTTATTATTTTAAAATATATTTTTTTTAGAAACAAAAAATTGGTTTTCCAAAATAAATGAAAAAAACCAACAAGAAACAAAAGATGAGCAGTAGTGTTTATTTTGCAGAGGCATTCTACATATGCAGAAGATTTGGTAGTGAAATTTTACTATAAAAACAAAGAAGATTGTCTGGGAAATCTTCGAAAGACCTGTGAAGAATAGGATGGAATTTCAGTGGTCTGATATTATACCCATCAGAGCTACCACCAACTCTGAGAGACAACTTGGAATTTTAGAAATTGAGGTTTGAAAGCGCACAATTTGGGATCAGATATTCTCCGACTTCACGGGTGGCGAAGCTCTAAATAGCAGCTTTCACATTCTTCTCTCTCTCTCTCTCTCTGGGTTGATTACAAGATACTGATACTATAGCATAAAAAGAGTGCACATGTAACGCACATGGCTTTCCATTAAAGAAGTTAATGTCTCTGATGTCGGTATGATACCATGTTATTTTGTTTTCGTTTTCTATAATTTTTGGAAGCATGTTTTCATGTCCTTGAATGAATTGTATCTTATTTATCTTTGTTGTTATTTCATATTCTTTGAGCAGGTGTATCTCACTCATAATGCATTACCTATTCTCTTTTGACAGGATACATTATGTTACATTTTCTTCAAGATATCTTGACCTACACTTCCGGAAACTTTTCTAATCTGACGCTCGTATTTTTGAGCTAACTAGGAAGCCGTTCCCATTGACAGAATCCTCTCACTTCCACTCAGCTACTTGTGGCATTAACACTGTTGTTTCTAATAACGCTACTTCGGACTCAAATAATGAAGATTCCCAACCCATGTCTGCACTACTCAAAACTTCAGGTTTCCCTGCACAGTTCCTTAAAATTGGTGCTTGGGAGCCATCGAAC